TTAATAAAATTTAAAAACTAGATCATTATTAAAAGTTGCTACAGATGTGAGCAGAGAGAAATTTCATTTCTGTGTATTTAGCATTAGTACCATCTTGCATATTTGACCTCAGATATTTATACGTCTTTTGTTCTCATTTCACATCACAAGCATTTGATATCTATTGTCTTATATAGCTGACACGTTTTGCTGCATTGCTATGATTTCAGCTTCCTTGGGCGGGTTGATGTTACTCCCGATTTCATTTTGTGGTTCTGTGGCGCCGATGTGGGGATGCTTCTCTTTTCAGTCACATGGTCTAGCATCACTCACCAATTTGCAAACCTGATAAGCCACTATGAAATATGAACTGATTGTCCAGCCTAAACCAGTACGATAAACCCGATCATTTTATCTGCTTAAAGGGTGTCAATAGTGCGAGACCGGCTCGAACCGGTTTGGCCCAATCAGTCCGGATTATGATCTTTGATACTACATATTGCTATAGTATCATTAAAATTTTCAAAAATTTTAATATTTGATTATTAAATTCATTTATTTAATTACTTTTATCGTAAATAATTTTGGAAAAATGGTTTCTAAAGAGACTTTTGATTTTTGTGACTCTTTATTTGTGCTTATTATTTTTTTTCTAAATTTTATGTGCTTTGTAAATGGTATGAGTTGAACACTTTATCAATGCAAAATTATATAGTAATTCGACAATATCAAATAAAAATTAAAATTTATAATTATATTTCCAAAGACATTACTTGGATTAGTATTATAATAGATCGTTCAGCGTAGGTATTAAATGTTAATTTGAGAAATATATTATTAACGCTTTTATTATTTCTTAAAAATCTAAAGAAATTATTTGGCTTTATTTAGGATTGATGGTATTTCGATTTATTTCATTATTACCTCTTTTATTGGGCTTACAATTAGTGGTTCGTGTTTTCAATTCTTGATCATATGACGAGTAATCATATATAAGCAAATTTAGATCCGTGACTTAGAAGTAACATTTACGATTGACACAATATTACTAGATAATTAAATAAGTTATCGATTTTTTTTTTGAATTATAACTAGTTTTATGCGTTTTGTAAAAAGATGTGACCTCTGCAGATTACAATGTGATGTGACCTTTGCAGATCACAATGTGATGTGGGAATCGGAAATTCTATCAATTTTAAGAATTTTATCGATTTCAAGGAAATATAAACATAGCTGATCAAAAATATAAGACAACAGCAATTAAAATCTCTACAATTTTCTTCGATCATCACAAGAATTACGTGGCCACATCTTTTTGCAAATCGCTATAATTAGACATTAATTCAAAAGATATGAAACTCGAATTGCTTGGGTAAAAAAAGTTAAACCGTTTTAAAGTTTATAATAACCATCACAAACTTTAAAAACGTTATAATAAATGGTATAACTTTGGCAAGTCGAGATTTTGACTTTAAGATTGTGTCATCAAATTTTTTTAACAGGACAGTAGGATCGATTTTACGTTCATGTGAACAAATGAAGTCGAACAAAAATTTCATTTGGATTCGCGCTTGAATTAGTATTTGATATGATGTAGTAGAATTGAACGAGGAAATCTTTTTAGGATCCTAAAGGAAGTTTATTAGACTAAATTTTGAGATGAACGCAAAGCGAACGTCTGGTTTTACGCCAATACAGGCTTTTATCGGCGAATTTAGTTTGATTATTATGTGACTGACTCGAAACCGATCCTATGTTTCTGAAATTATTATTTTTTTTGGTTTACTTATTTGAAAAATATAGCAACATGATTTAAAATCACGTTGGTTATATATACTATTTTACGTAGTGCACTGGACTATCTAGTATTTCATATGTGTTGCCAAGTAGAAACAAGTAGTCTAAATATGAATTATATTTGATTTAAAATAAACTATATTTAGATAGACTTTTTTTTGTTTTCACTTGGCAGCACTTCAGACTTAAACCTATTCTTGAGTATAGTAGTTGAACTGAATTTAATAATAAATAATAATGAACTATATATTTTATTCCACAGGACTGTTTTTATCAAAGTTTCGAAGCCCAAGCTGGCTATCAGCAAGAGCCTTGCTTAAACGGAGTGTATATGTGTTTAGGTAACATTAATACAAATTTAAATTTAGAATTTATTAAAATTGTGCATTTAATTAATTTTATATATTTTTTTATCTAGTTTCCTTTTGATAATATATATTCCTTATGGTATTTAAATTTCATTTTTTGTTTGTATTTATTAAAATTTTTTTATTCTTAAATAACTTTGTATTAACAAAAGTTCCTTTAATATTTTTAGCTATCTTGAAAATTTCTAGTTTAATAAATTATCACTATCAAGATCCTACCGTATATTATGCTTCTTACCTTTACTCAGTTGCTAGTCCCTCTTCTAGAAATTCAGTATCTTATCTTTATGATCTTTCCTCTGTTTATAAATTTGAAATATCAATTTCAGAATATGGATATGCAAATTTGATTATTTCTATTATATATAGTTGGCTTTTAATTTTTTCATATATATCCTTCTTAATTTTAATGTGTATTTCAAAATTCGTAAAAGATATGGTTCAGCAGACCATAGATGAAATAGAATCTTCTGCGAATGAGGTACAAGAGGGTTCAAGCAAATATCAAAGTATTTCTTAATTTATTAAAATCATTTAGACTTCAAAGTTTTTTTTTGAATTCAGATTATTTAACCAATTATTGTTTATTTTTAATTTATCACCTATTTTTTTTTTCTGTGTATATTTCAATTTACTTAATGCGAATAAAAATTACAAATTACGCAAATTAGAATAGTATGGGTGTTATATGTAAATATTTTTTTTTCGTAATATTTTTTACTCTATTTATACTGTAGTTATTTGTTGAAACCTTTGATGGAAATCTAATTGCCTGGTGAAAGCAAAATTTGAAGCCTCAGAAAAAGTAATGTCTTAAAACTCTATAAAAGACAAAAATCTTATTAAAGGATGGACTGTATTAATGAACGATAATATTCGGTAAATTGGCATAAATAATTTTAGATTATTTTCTTGGAGGTGTATAAATGCTGTAATATGGTATTATGGTGTGTATGGGTGTTATTATTCGCTGGGCTTTTAGAAATTAATAATATTTCATGACCATACAATCAAACTATACTAACGCTTTACAGAATAATAAAGCGTGCCTCTACAAGTTTAGTAAAATAGTTTATGTAATTAAACTCTACGTATATTAAAATTTAAGATAGTTCTATTATCAGCTGGTAGCTGTGAACAAAATCTAAATTTTTAGTCTTATTACTTTAGCAGCAAAACAGTAACGTTTATAGGATGGAACGTTAGTTATTATTATGCCTCAAATTTCATGCTGTCTCTAAATTTTTGGGAATATGTTTTAATAAAATCATACATTTTATCCTTATATTGTACTCAATTCACCTCATTCCTTATATTCGTAATCAAAAGATTTATACGAATCTTTGATAAGCTTAAAAATATAAAGCCAGTAGCAAATTCTTAATTTCAGTATTTATTATGATTTGTAACCAAATGATTTTTTATGCATTTTTGCACCTTAACAATTTGGTCAAAACTGAAAATAAACGTTCAATAAGATGAATTATAATAAATTGATTTATTTTTAGTATTGACAAGGTCGAAACGGTGAGTCAGTCGCTTCACAATCGGGTATGTCGTGTAACCTACGAATCAGCTTAGTCGAAATGGGTGTGTTAGATTTGGCGAGTGGAGAATTTATGATTGTAGGTATTAAGATGTAGTGAAAGCAGGGAATTATCAAGAGACGAATTTTTATTATCAGCACGAACTTCTGTTCTCGTAGGGCTCGAAGCCTTTATTATATAATGTTTTATTACATGTGCCTCCTAAATTAATTAAAGATATTATCCGTAATGAACCTCTTTAACTTCCTATACTACTTAAGGCCTTTAATTATTATAGAACCCATTAATTATATGCTTCCCTTATTGCCCTATTACCCTTCTATCCACTAATAGCCTTAAACGACTTTTACGACCTTTAATCCCAGGGAAACCCATTTTAGGTAGATGATCGGCATAGCCGTTACTTTCACAATATTTCGTTACTGCACCACATAGATCACTCCTTCCTTTCACAGCTAACCAAATTTGATTAATCTGATCGGACTTACTGATCCGATTATAATCTTAATTGTGTATAGAATACATGGAATAATCTAGATTTAATATCGGGTGTTCAATTCTCATATTGGTTACACAGATTTGATTTACAATCTATTTGATATGAATATGAATTTAAAAAAACGATTAACCTTTAACTAAATCGTCACGAATAAAGAAGCTTCTACATATAAAAAAATTATAACTGTGACGAAATTAATACTGGCAGAAATTTTTACCATTGAATATCGATAACTTAAACCTAAAATTGTAATCTTGTCGCAGACGAATTCAGGCAAACTAAAGGAAAAAATCCTAGTGTACATGAATCTAAAGAAGAAAAAGACAAACCAAAAACGAAAAATACAAGAAATAAATTTAAACCTATTTTAGAATGCTAATAGCTAATAAAGAAATGATCTAAACAACTTTTAGCACTTCGTTTTAATTCTTCTCCCAAATTTCTATAAACCATATACATAACTCTCAACTTCATATTATCTATTATTAGCCTAGATAATACGTTGTCAGATTTCTTTATTAATTTTGTTACGGAGAATAAGTTTTTCACAAATAAAGACAATAAGGCAACTTTAGCTACCAATTCATTTTTGTGCTTGGGAACGTAGATATGGCGTAGTTAAGATTTGCGTAGTATTAAATCAATCATTTATTGAACTCGATAATTTAAGAAATATCTGATTTCGTTGTGTTACATGAAAAATTATAATCGTACGTAGTGCATAATCAAGCAGCATAATACTGTATTTAGATTATATGTAGTTACTGTGATTTTGGGTTTTAAATTTCTCCTTTTTTTATCAAAAAAAAAATGTCTACCATGAATAACTCGATGAGTTTTCAGGAAAGAAAATATACACTTAATAAGCTGAAAATGATGTTTGATAAATGGGAAAATTTAAGATCAGTGACTTATAGACGTTCGATTATTTGTGCTTTCCTTTGGACAGTGTCACTTGTATTTGGTATTTTTCTTCTAATTTTGGAGAACAATATTATGATCAAGAAAATTATTCCAACTTCTTTGCTTGGGATAGGAAGTATAGGAACTTTAATTAATAGTTTTCTATCTTTGATAAAACTTTTTCCTATAAAAAAACCAGACAAAGAAAGTATTGATGATGAAATAATTAGAAGTTCAGAACAAGCATGTAACGTAGAATTTTATGAGACAGAATTAGGACCAAATGAATTAAAAACATTAAAATATATAAGAAGAAAAGGCAAAGTATGCGAGGGTTCTGATAAAGATAAAGAAGATGTGAATAAAATTCAAAAAGAGCATCCTTTTGGTTTAGTTTTAAAGTTTCTTGAAGATCTTATCAATAATTTACGTTTAACAAACATTTTGCAAATTATTTATATGAGTTTCATGGCAACTATTATTCTTATCTTATCTATTATTTCTATTCTATTCATGTTTTACGAATATAAAACAGATTTTTTTGTAACTTCTGTTATTCTTCTCATTGTTTTTTCTTCTTTATGTATATGGCTTGATATTAATTTCATTATTTACACTAAACTCATTATCCCTCTGTTAGAGAAACAATGGACTGAGGATAAAAATAGTTTTATTTTTACTGTAATTACCTTCGAATGTCTTAACACCATAACCAAGGAATCTGAAAATGATACTAAAAATAGAAAATATCTCCGAATGAAATTATTATATGTCTTTATCCCATTTCTTTTTTTAATGGGTTTGATATCAATATCGCCAAAGGGATTAAAAAAAATTTCTCCAAATGAAACAGAAATGGAAAATATCTCTCGGTTGCTGTTTGGTTTATCAACTAAAATCTCAGATAATGATGGAATATCACCAAAGAGATTAAAAAAAATTTCTCCAAATGAACCAGAAATGAAAAATATCTCTCTTATGATCGGACATTGTTGATTATTAAAATAAATGATGATAATTTATAAATTGCCGGTATTAAATATTAAAATATAATAAAATTGGATGAATTTTATGTTTGGCTGATTGTCTTCTAAGTTATGAATTGCTTATGAAACCGTCATTAAACTGTAATGAAAACATAACAAAATTAAACTTTTGGTTAATTGCTTAATTAAATGCTTGCTTATTAATATTTTGATATAGTGACGCTGCATAATATATCTTCGTTATTAGAGTTGTTATATAATTCTTGATTTTTAATAATCACGTTATTCTCATCAAAAAACTTTGCTAATATGTGATATATAAGAGCATCATTGGCTGGTGTTACGAAAAATGTAATAAAATAAATACTGTAGTATGTAATGATAGACATAAACTTAGCTAAAAATCGATATAATCACTTTAATCCTTCTTGGAACAATTGTACTACGTATCGCACAACATTTCCTTTTTGGCACTAAATAAGAACCTTCTATTGCTCACTTTACATTTTTGGATTTCGCTTTTCTCGTACGTATTACAAATAAAGACTGGCCTATTAACTGTTGTACTTTCGCTCGCCTTTGAATAATAATCGATCAAATTTTAATGTTAACGACGCTGTGCTAAATTGGAAATAAGTGGAAAGCTCTCCCAAGTCGTAACACTGGAACTGAGGGAAGTTATTCGAAAGTTTTTCAAGTCTTTGCGAATTTTCGAAATGTCAGTTCCGATGTAATGTAATTACTATAGTTTCTTTTGTAATTTTATTAATAATAATAGTACTTATTACGTATTTATGCGATAGTTTTTCTTTTAATTAAAATAGTTTAATTTTTATTTTTCATACCCATTACTATATATTTTTATAGATATTTAACGATAGTAAAAGTTCTATATAAAGGGTTGCTTGTTGTTAATATGAGATGTAGGCACTCCTCTCCAATAAACTAATCGATAAGGTGGTTCGTACCATTGTCACTTTTTCTTGCTCTAATCATTTTTATTAATCATTTTTATGTCTATGGTTCTTGCTAAATTTGGTTGCAACGTATAATAGCTCTTTCAGATTGGGTTGTGTTACATAAATTACAATTTTACATTTCATGTAATTTTACGTACCGTACAACGTGGTCTAAAAGTGGCCTTAAACATATATTAAATCGCTAGTTATAATTAGAAGTCCATTGACAGGTTTTCTCTTGGTGACAATTATATGACCTATATCTCCTACGCAACTATAATATTTTTCTGACTATAATACCTAGGTACGAAGATAACTTGTAAAGTACCCTGGGTATTTGAGACCACGCTGTACATTACGTACATAAGTTTCAAAAAATAAAATTCTATATATAAAGTACCAGATTTACACCAGCATCATTTTATTTGAATGTACGATTTGATCTCAAATATGAGTACATTTATTAAATCTGATTCTTTTATTAATTTATCTGAACTATACGTAATTTTTAATTACTAGTTTCTTATATTTTCTTGAAAAAAGCTTTCAATTGTAGATATGACTAGTAAATTTAATTGAAAGTTTAATTAAATTGTATTTCAAACCTGAACTTAAAAGTTTCATTTTAAATAATAAAATTTTGATTAAAATTTAACTGTTATGTGATCCAATATTTTAACAACTATTTAGGGTGTTCTCAAGCTTCAACCTCGATGTGATTGGTTCGCGATCTTAATCGTGCACAACTATAATTATATTTACGTATAATGAAACGATTAAGCTAATTAAGAAGCAATCAAAGTTTGCTCAAACGTTATTCTCTATGCGATTGGCTAATAAATGTGACGATGCTCATTTACTATAATCAATCAAAATAAGAACTGCAATTGATGCTTGGTCAATACACTAATATTTTATCAAATGCCGTTATCACTACGTTTATTTCGTTGATATTCGGTCGTTGCATGATAAGGTTACTGATAAAGTTGCTTGTGCGATCTCTTTGAAAACGCAATTAATTGTAAATTTTGCCAAGCCAGGGATCAAAAAAAGGTGGTCTGCCATAAAATGTTTATAAATTGAAATGTTAAACTCACGTATTGTCTTTTGATTAATAAAAATACAATAACCTTTATTTAATTACGATGTTAAACACATTTGACCTCCTTAAAATATTTTCCGCTAAGTAAAATTTTTCTCCGCGCTTTTTGTCCCGTTGATTTAGACGCTTGAGAACGCCCTTAATCAGCAATTATTCTCACAAAAAATTTTCTCTGTATATAGATTTCATAGAGTGCTGCTGTGTTCAATGCCCGGGGACTAAATCCAAAACACCCAATTAACTTGATTATATCCAAAGAGCACAATTCAAAGATATATCATGAACCTAAATTTAGGCGTGGAATGTTTTTATTGGATACTGCTAGTCTTGCAAGCCTAATTTATATCCGTGTATTGATCAGAATTTTCACTCTATGGTATTGAAATTACCCGGCTATTAATCTGGAAGCACTTCCTAGAAGGCTCTAAATGCAGCACTTTACGATACCTTGTATTTTACATGAAAATTTCAAACTTGTGCTATATTAGATATGAGATATCATCTTAGCAGCTTTTTGATAATATACAAGTGCCGTTGTTCATCTTTTTCAACACCAACACCATTTACATAGCAATATCCAAGTTCATGGACAGCAAAAGCATTTCCCATCTCAGCAGATATCTGATAGCAAAGAAATGCTTTATTCTCATCCTTTTTGACCCCAATTCCGTTTTTATAACAATGACCAACATTATATATCCCTTCTGAATCACCCATCTCTGCTGATTTTTGATAATAAATGAATGCCTTATGTTCATCCTTTTCAACTCCAATCCCATCTTTATAGCAGTTACCAAGATTGTACATTCCACCAAAGTTTCCCATCTCTGCAAATTTTTTATAATAAATGAATGTTTTATGTTCATCCTTTTCAACCCCAATTCCATACTGATAACAATGCCCAACATTATTTATCCCCTCTGAATTACCCATCTCTGCTAATTTTTGATAATATTGAAATGCTTTATCCTTATTTTTTTCAACCCCCAATTCCATTTTGATAAGAATGTCCAACACTGCACATTCCACCAGAATCACCCATTTCTGCTGATTTTCGATAATATATAAATGTCTTGTACTCATCCTTTTCAACTCCAATCCATTTTCATAACAATAGCCTACCTGAAATATTCCTTTTGAACTACCATTCTCTGCAGATTTTTGATAATAAACAAATGCCTTATATTCATCTTTTTCTACTCCAACACCATTTTGATAACAACAACCAACATGGAACATTGCAAGAGCATCACCTAAATCCGCTGATTTTTGATAATATATAAATGCCATATATTCATCTTTTTCAACGCCAATATTATTTTCAAAACAATGACCAATTTGAGACATGGCAAGAGCATCACCCATATCGGCAGATTTTTTATAGTAATTGAATGCCTTTTGTTCATTCTTTTCAACTACAATTCCATTTTGATAAAGCAGACCAAGATTAAATATCCCTTTAGCGTCTCCCATATTTGCAGATTTTTGATAATAAAAAGAATGCTTTGTGTACATCTTGTTTAATCCCAATTCCTTTCTCATAACAGTAACCAACATTATTCATTCCAAGAGCAAGACCTGCATTGGCTGATCTTAGATAGTAAATAAATGCCATTTGTTCATCCTTTATAATACCAATCCCGTTTCTATAACAATTACCAAGATTATTCATTCCAAGCGCATAATTCATCTTTGCAGATATTTCGTAATAAAAAAATGCTTTATATTCATCCTTTTCGACACCAATTCCTTCATCATAACAGTAAGCAACATTAAATATTCCAAGATAATGATTTATATCTGCAGATTTTTGATAATGGATGAATGCTTTATGTTCATCCTTTTCTACACCGATTCCTCTATTATAACAATAACCAACATTATTCATTCCAAGCGCATTACCCATATTTGCAGACTTTTGATAATAGTTAAACGCTTCATGTTCATCTTTTTCAACTCCAATTCCATTTTGGTAGCAATAGCCGACAATATTCATTCCATGTGCGTGATTCATATTAGCATATTTGTGATAATAACTAAATGCCTTATGTATGTCTTTTTTAACTCCAATTCCATTTTCATAACAGACACCAAGTGCACATATTCCATCGGCATTACCCATATCAGCTGATTTTTGTTAATAAATAAATGCCTGATGTTCATCTTTTGGAATCCCAACCCCATTTTGATAACAATACCCAATTTTGTATATTCCTTCAGAATTTCCCATCTTGGCAGATTTTAGATAATAACTAAATGCTTTATAGTTATTTTTTACGGTTCCTATTCCATTTTCATAACAAACTCCAAGGTTATTTATTGCCGTAACATTTCCCATGTTTGCTGATTTTTGATAAAGAGTGAATGCCTCATATTTATTTTTATTAACCCCAATATTATTTTCATAACAATACGCGAGATTATAAATTACAAAAGCATTTCCCATATTGGCAGATTTTTGATAATAAGTAAATGCTTTATATTCGTCTTTTTTAACACCAATCCCATGCTGATAATAATATCCAGCATTGAGCATTCCATTAGCATTCCCCATCTCTGCAGAATTTTGATAATAAATGAATGCTTTACGATCATTCTTTTCAGTTCCAATTCCATTTTTATAACAATGTGCAACATTATAAATTCCACTAGCATTCTTCATATCTGCAGATTTTTGATAATAAGTGAATGCGTTATGTTCATCTTTTCTAACTCCAATTCCGTTCAAGTAACAAAAACCAACTTGAAATACACCTTTAGGATTACCCATCTCTGCAGATTTTTGATAATAAGTGAATGCCTTACGTTCGTCTTTTCCAATACCAATCCCGTAAAGATAACAATGTCCAACACTATAAGTTGCTTCAAAATCACCCATCTCAGCTGATTTTTGGTAATGAATAAACGCTTTATATTCATTTTTTATAACACCAATTCCATTTGCATAACAATAACCAACTTGAAATGTTCCATTATGGTCACCCATTTCTGCGGATTTTTGATAATAAAGAAATGCTGTAAATTCATTCTTTCCAACGCCAATCCCATTTGCATAACAATAACCAACTTGAAATATTCCTTTAGAATCACCCTTATCACTAGATATTTTATAATAACGGAATGCTTCATATTCATCCTTTTGAGCTCCAATTCCGTTTGTATAACAATAATCAACATGAAATGCTGCATCAGCAAACCACTCTGCAGATTTTTTATAGTAAATTAATGCCTTATATTCATCTTTTTCAACTCCAATTCCCTTTTGATAACAGCGTCCAATGTTATATGCTCCATTAGAATTCCCCATATCTGCAGATTTTTAATAATAAATAAATGCTTTATGCTCATACTTAACAACTCCAATTCGTTTTCATAACAATATCCAACTTGATATGTTCCATTATGGTTACCCATTTCTGCAGATTTTTGATAATAATTAAATGCTTTAAATTCATTCTTTTCAACGCCAATCCCATTTGCATAACAGTGACCGGCCTGAAATGCTCCATCAGAATCACCCATCTCAGCTGATTTTTGATAATGAATAAATGCCTTATGTTGATCAAATCTTTGATAAAAAGTGAATGCCATATTCACATCCTTTTTGATTCCAATTCCATTTTCAAAACAATATCCGACTTGGAATGCTCCTTTAGGATCACCCATATGTGCAGACCTTTGATACAAAGTAAATGCGATAAGTTCATTTTTTTTAACACCAATTCCATCTGTATAACAACAACCAACTTGAAATACTCCTTTTAAATTACCCATATCGGCTGATTTTTTGTAAAAAGTAAATGCTGTATCCTTATTTTTTTCAACTCCAATTCCATTTGCATAGCAATATCCAAGGTTATAATACGCAAAAGCATTTCCCATCTCGGCGGATTTTTGATAATAAATAAATGCTTTAAATTCATCTTTATCTACTCCAATTCCATTTTATAACAATGCCCAACTTTACATATTCCTTAAAAATTTCCTATTTCTGCAGATTTTTGATAATATATAAATGCTTTATAGTCATCCTTTTCAACACCGATTCCATTTTCATAATAATAAGCTAATTGAAATGTTCCTTTAGGATTACCCATCTCAACGGATTTTTGATAATGAATGAAAGCTTCATGTTCATCCTTTTCAACTCCAATATTATTTTCATAACAATATCCAAGATTATAAATAGCAGAAACATTTCCCATCTCTGCAGATTTTTGATAATAAATAAATGCATTATGTTCATCTTTTTCAACTCCAATTCCATATTGAAAACAATGACCAGTATTAAAAGTTCCTTCAAAATCACCCATATCAGCAGATTTTAAATAATGAATAAATGCTTTATCTTGATCTTTTTCAACACCAATTCCATTTTCATAACAATAACCAACTTGAAAAGTTCCTTTAGAATCACCCAATTCTGAAGATTTTTGATAATAAGTAAATGCTATAAATTCATCCTTTTCAACACTTATTCCATTTTCATAACAATAACCAACTTGAAATGTTCCTTTGGGATTACCTAATTTTGATGATTTTAAATAATGATTAAATGCATTCTCTTCATCCTTTTCAACTCCAATTCCATTTTGATAATAATATCCAACTTCATTTATTCCATCTAAATCACCTATATCAATAGATGCGTGATAAAGTAAATATAAAATATTCTCATTACTTAAATCACTTAATAACTCTTTATTAATTATTGTAAATAATAAATAAAATTATAATGATGATTTCATAAAAAACAGGTTTCAAGATTATAATATTTTTCAAGAACTTTTCTATTTTAAATTCATAGTAATGTGAGTAAATTATGTAAAATTTCAAAGTTTTCGTTGAATCGGACTTATCATTAAATTTAAACCATTCCCAGCTAGTATTCTAGTCGTTTCTGAAACACAAATGCAATGTAACAGGTCATTTAAAAAAGGAAAATTAACTAAGTACATACGGTTACACTCAAATACATAAGTAATTAACGTTACGTATCAGGTAGTAAGTAAAGTAGTACGGTACGGTAACGCAAATTAGTACGGACATATATAAAGTTTAATAGTACATACACTTATTTAATATAAATTTTTTCGTACAAGTACACTTGAATATTTTATGCGTACATACATACTTTTTCCCTAACAAACAAAATATATAATGTTGAGCAAATTATTACTGCATTTAATATATATAAAATTTACTTTAGCATTACTGCTACAAAATATATGTAATTTTGAACAAATTATTACCACATTTTTAGTATATATAAAATTTACTTTAGCATTACTGCTACAAAGAAAATTTATATTTCATTACTGCTACAAAGCAAATTTACATTTTGCAAATTAATTTATATTCAAAGAAACCTGATGATTATTAAACAACTATATGTTTAGATTAAAACTAAACCAAACCCAGATTGATTTTTAGTTGTTGATTCTGTAATTCAAGAGCTTCTACCTCTGCCATTTCTTTTCTGAGCTTTAGTTGATGTTCCAATAATGTCATTTTTCTTTCTTGTAATTCAATACTTGTTGACATATCATCTATTCTAATTTCACTAGTTTCATCCATATCAGATTTAATTTCTACTACAATTTCATCTACAATTTGATTAGTAGTATTATACTGTGGTTTTTTTCATGTAGTATTAGTGGATGATAATTTTCTCTTTTTTTTTGTTTCGGATTTACAGTTTTTAAGACTTGTGACTATAAATAAAAAATTAAATTATTTTATATATGAATTATAATAAAAAAAATAATAATACATATTTACCTTTATGATTTGACTCAATTTGTTGTCATTTAACTTGACTTTTATCTCATCATGAATATGGTATAACTGAATTATCATGGGTGTCTTTAATTTTTAATAATCTTTCATCATATCATTTTTTACTAAAAAATTAAATTAATAATTAAAAAAATAAATAAATCATAATATATAATAAGTAATTTAAATATGTATATTATCATAAAATAGCTGACATTAATTTTAGTTGCTTTCCTTCTTTGTTAATTAAAGCATGGGCTGATTCTGCCATATTAGTATTATTTCCATATTTTCTCCAAATATGACATTCTATTTTTAACATATTGATATTTAAAGATAAAATAATCCATAAAGTTTTATAATATTTCACCCAATCTAATTTTTTTTAGAGTTAATATTATTTTAATTTAATAAATTTTAATTTAATAAATTTTAATTTAATAAATTAATTTATTTTACCTTTTGCACCAGGTTCATTTGAATTTTCGATTTTATTTTAAATAGATTCGATCAATTCTTAAAAAGGTTCATTAATAATTGATTTTGCTAAATTGTAAATTCTTTTAAAAAATGTTTATTATATAAATTTCTAAATTATAAAATAAAATAAATTATTTAATTAATAAATGCAGTATTTACTATTCAGAGTAAACTATATACCCTGGGTATAATATATTCTATAGTCAAATTGCAGTTCGCATTATATTATAATTACAAACTGTTAAAAATATACAACACATGATTTAAAAATATGCATCAAATGCATTTCCCAATCCTTTGTTATATCTAATTCACATAATATGAGATCCAATCCTTTTGCTTGCCTGCTATCTAAATCACCTAATAAGCATTTCCAATCTTTTCGTGTATATGATATATACATAAAGTTTTATTAATAAGTTCTTGAATTACATTAAATAAAATACTAAACAAGTTTTTATAATCATTCACAAATGAAATATTTGTATATATTCAACAAAAACTCATAACTAAAATTAATAAAATATTAATAATATAAAAATAATACATATCAATGATTTTATTATATTATATATAATAATATATTTATCCAATTTATGCTTTTCATCATATGTATTAATTTTAAATTCGTTGATATCACCATTAACACATTTAAAAGATAAATCAATTTGGAAACTTTTTAAGTTGATCAACAATTTTGCTTGTTTTTTTAATATGCAGATAATTAAAATTAAATTGGTATTGAGCCATTCTAAATAAATAAAAAATTTAAATTATTATATTTATAAAATTAACATTTAATTATAAATTAAACATACCAATATGTTGAATATAATTTTTTAATTCTTGATGATTATTTTTAGCAGCATAAAAAACATCCAATATTTCTTGACTGTAAGGATGCAAATTTTTGTAAGTTTTTGCAACAAGAATTCACAATTTATCAATACTATTTAATGATTAATGAATATCTGAAAGTGCTTTCGATTTAAAAAATACCTTTATTAAATTATCTAAAGAATTCATAATTTTAAAATAAAAATTTAAGTTAATAAAATATTAAATAAATAAATAAAGTAATTACATACATGAGTAAATATTTTTTGAAATAATCATATCATTTTCACTAATTGCTTGATTAATTAATATTTGCAAATTTGCTTTTATATCAGCAGAAATTTTTTCAGGAGGAGGTGGCAGATAATTGTATGTTCTAACATATACTAATGTGATAAAAAGACAGCCTTTAAGATCTTTGAGTGTAAATTTATAAAATGTTACTGGACATGGTTTTTGAATGATTTTAGCATGATTAATATCTCTAGTAGAAAGATTATGAATATAATCTAAAAATAAATAACTATTATTTTAAACATAGCATAATATTAATTAGTAATTATAAACTGATTATTATATATTGCATTTTTTTCTTTTAGATGAATGATGTAATAAAATTGTACAATATGGAAGCTGTTCCTGAATCTAATAAAAACTAATAGATTATATTAATTAATAAATAATTAGTTTAAATATTACAAACTATATATTATCTCAGCTTTTCTAAGAAACAAATCTTGCAGAAGAGCAATATCTACGCTTTTATAATCAATTTTTATATAATGATGCCATTAATCACCAATATTATATTTAGAACAACTGATAAACTATTGAAAAACATTTTGTGATAATTGTGACTTGTATAAAATCGGGTATCCAGAGTATATAATTCTATTATTATCCTTAAACTTGCAAGAATTATTCTTAGCAGCTAAGTATTTTCTATATTTATAAATTAGTATTAAATTTAGAATTTAATTAACTTTTTTTTTTTCTTAAACCCAAGATAACAGTTATCTGGAAATATCAAGAGACATTTAATTAACAAATTTTAAACTTACATATATGTATTAGTTTTCCTTATATCGACATCCTGATTTTCAGTAATTTTTTTCCATAATGGAGACTCGACATTAACTTCATTATGTTCAATATTTATTAATAAAGGATCAGTAAAATGACTTACTTTAATTCCCATGCAATTCTGCTCTTCTTTGCTTACTGGAATATTTCTAAAATAAGGTGAACTTTTAATTAAATGAACACTGCCACCACCCATCAAATATTTTATCTAAATAAAATTAATATATATAATTATTAATAATTATTATTATAATTAAATACTACAATACAGTAAAAAAAATTATTACATTTTTCCATGCATGGCTTAGATTTGTCCAATTCTCAACATGAAATATAGTTGCAATACCTTCTGGCAAGGTTGATGAATATTCTACTGACACACTTGAATGAATTATATTCTTTATTTGAAAATGTGATATAAAACATGCAATTTTAGGAAATTTATCATCCTCATTAAGAAATTCATCAAATTGTTCAGTATTGGTATCAGACAATTTCTAATAGCAATAATTTTAATTGTATCAATTTTGTGAATTCACTTTTGCTAGAAATGTAATAATATTGATAATAATTAAAAACCAGCATTTTATTTGTATACTTGTTTATATTCAGGGTTTACAAGATCATTTTAAAATTCTTCGACATTAGATATATCAGGATCAGGGTTGTCATTGGACTTATTCCAGTCTCTCACGAGTTACTGGACTGGACTGGACTGAAATTCGTATAAGTCCA